AGCTGCAATCAAAGGGTGCTAATACTGACTTTACTGGATTTATGTTTTGTCTATTGGAATTACTGATCTGGCAGTGCATTCTGAGCAATTGCAATGTTGTGGTAGCATGGTTTTCTAGGAATTGATCTGTGGCAAAGGGATCAGAACACAGATATTGTTGTTGTGGAATGATGGATGGAGGAGATGGAGTTTTTGCTTTGTATTGGACTGCATTGATTGTTGTCTGCAATTCTGTACTGACCTAGAGCATAGAGTTGCTGCTTCGCTGAATGATCTGAAGGTCTAATTGCTGGGCTGTTCTATTTTGCTGGTCTGCTTTGTTGTGCTGACTGGTACATTGGAGTGTGGTTTGCAGACAGTTAATCTCAGCTGTTAGACATCTTTTGATTGTAATTAGAAATGGTTTAATCCATCTTGTAGGATTAAAGCCATTTTTCATTTGTTTTAGAACTTCTTATTCTTTGCTTCATGTAATTCATTCTTTTTTGGAAATAAAATTTTTTCTTTTCTTTAAAAAAAAATAAAGGCTTATGCCCAATAAACAATTTTAATATGATACGACATAAACTCGACTTATTTAAATGCTCTTTCATAATAACATAGATGCTCTTTCATATTAAATTGATGTTATCCTACAGAATGCCTAATTAACCTATTCATTCCTCTATATTAATTAGTATTAGGAGTTGGGAAAGATATTATAATATCATTTGGCTTCTGATGGGTGAAGTGTTTTTGTTGCTCCAGTTGATGTATGTGGAATCGAGATCACAATAATATAGGGTTCTATTGGAGAAATCCGCAAAAAGAATCATTTCAATGGATTGACAACCTCAAGTGCACAATACCTTTTGTTCAATTAAAACATAATACCAAACAATGCAAGCAATGTTAAGGAAAAACATCCGGTGAAGAGGAAATGGAAGTTTCAGCATTGAAAATGTACACACACAAACCACTATTTTTCGACATTGAAAAACATCAATTTTGATAATTGTTTCACATGGGTTGACGAGTATAACACAATTACAAATGAACAAAGATTGGTGCTTTGTTGAATGTCTTTAATTCCTGGTTGTAAATCATTTTTCATGAAATAAAGTGTTGATTTGTTTGAAAACAAAAAATTAGGTATTATAAAGCATATTTAGGATAAAACTTGAGATAGTTACTAAACATGTCTTCTGTTTTTATTTTCATAATTTGATAGATAAAAATTACACCCAAACATATTTTCTATTTCAGTATTTACCACAAAACAGAAACAATAAATTGTCTATATTTTTAGTTTTTTTAAGACGCAAAAACAAAAACGTTAACAAACGATCCCTTCACTTTTCTCATAGACTTTCAAGAAGATGCTTAGGTTTGACTTGAGTTCAATCCTCAAACCATCAGCCTTATTTTTTTTTCCCAACAAGCACGAATTTAAAATTAAACTCGAGCTCAAGCTCGTTTTCAAATATCTTATTTTGTAATTCTAATACTGTAAACAAATAAACAATTCCCAAAGGATATGATGTCCACCATATACTTTCCAACATCTCACCATTCTACTTTTGACATAAAAAAATACAAATTTAACATAAACACACTAGTTATAATTCGTATTTCAATGTACAGTGTAATATAAAATTTGAGCATCCAAAAAATTGATACTACTATACTACATAATAATTTTTCTTTTCTTCTCTATTTTCAATTACATAATTTGGAATTAATTTCTACGCATTATTTTTTTTTTAAAAACTAACAATTTTCTCAAAATATATTGATGGTGTATTTTGTGCGATTGAGTAAAGATAAATGGTTTAAGGATCTTATTAAGGACGTTAATGGGGTTTAATTGGGATATCAAGTCAAAGTTTTTGGCTTCTTGGAATTTGAACAATCAATTCAAGAGTCAAATAATTACAAACAAAGATCAGTAAACTGAGACTTTATAGTTGTTCATCAGCTTAAAAATTTGACTAGTCTATTATAATGAAATTTCTTGCTTTTGGAGGAAGTTTTCTATTAATTGGGGAAGAAGGTTATAAAATTACATTGAGTCAATTGTATAGATGTTTGATTGATTACAATGTGAATGATTTGATCATTATTTATAGTATATAGTTGTCTTGCGTGATCTCTACGATCCTCTTGTAACCAACGTGATTCTTGCATAAACAACATGATCTCTTTGGGGTTGTTACGTCTCATGTGCAAAAATATTTTCCGTTAGAGGCTATATATTCCTAGATATAATGTAGCTTTCCAAAAAGTGTGAGTTGTTATTGTTGTCGTATGCACAACAATCACGTCGATAATGATTTCAGACTTGCGCCTCTCGAACTAATGATCATGAGCTGAGAGGTCCGAGCAAAGATGTCTGAACTAAAAGGTCCGAGTTTAACCTCGGCTTTTTTTTTGGTATCATCATGTATGACCTTAAAAAAATTTCAATATGTGTACACTATTTATTGTATTTGAACAATGACTAAAATAAAAAATTGAATTAAATCACAAATTAATAAAAAATTTAAATAATTCAACTTGTGATAGAAATGAATAATTTAATATAAATGAGTGTGAAAAATATATGGGAATAAGATTTAAACTCTTATTTCTCTTATTCAAGAATAATTGATCGCTTATCGACATCATATCACTGAAATCAAAGAAGAAGACGAGTTTAGAGTTGAGTTTGTGAATGACGTTGTAAAAAAAAATTGAGGAAACAAGGTTTTATTGGGGTTTGGGAGGGAAAATTAGGGTCTTGTTCGATGGGATAGTAGGAGGCGGTGGAGATGAAAAATAGAGTTTTGCAAGGTCGTGCATTGGCTGAGACCGCGACGAGACCGAGAGAGAGAGAGAGATTTGGGGTTGAAGGAATGAACCACTAGAAGACTTCATATGAAAAATGGAGATGTATAATCCAGTGTGGCATGATCTATTATAAGCAGGTGCGAAAGTGCGGCCTCAATTCGCTCCACATAGGGTTATCATCGAGCTAAACCCAACAAGTTTCAATTTTCTTAGGCCTGAATTAGGACTTTGAAGAAAATGCTCAGATTCGAGTTGAGCCCGACCCTGGAACCTTGCTTTAAGCTTAGGCTCAACTCTATTGAAAAATATGAAGACGTTCAACTTCTTTATTCAAAGAGCTCGAATTCAAGCTTAAGTTCGAGCTCAAATTAACTTTCAAAAATTTAATTATGTAATATCGTTCTGTTCAAATAAATAAACAATTCCCAAAAGTAATGGCATCAAACACCATAAGATACTTTCCAACGTCTAAGAATTCCATTTTTCACATAAATAAACATTTAAATAATATAAACACACCATCCATAACTACATAAAATTCGATCATTCAAAGAATCAACGCTTTTATGCTAAATAACAATAAAAAATTTATTTTCCATTTCTACCCATTATTTTACTAAAAAAAATTGACAAAAATTTCTTAAAATACATGATCTCAAAAAAAAATAAAATATCAAGATGTAATACTGTATTTGAACAACAGTGATTTGATGTCTAAAGCAGATGTATTATTATATTTGAACAATGTCTAAAATCGAAATAATTAATTTGTGATAGAAATAAATGATTTGATGTAATGAGCGAAAAAAATACGTGGGGATAAGATTAAAATTTATAACTCCCTTATTATATAGATATGACATCTATCATCCAAAGATACTACAAATACAACACAATGTTCCAAATTCACGTACTACAAACAACCACTCTACCCTTTGTTAGTAAACAATCAAGAGGCAATCTCTCTCGACCTAAAAGAGGTGGCAAATATTATGCATCGTCGTATTGTGGAAGATATTTATTTTTATTTTTTTGGAATCTCGACAGTGCGACTGAGATTTTATTGATTAAAAATTAAATTACACCTAGTTAAGGAGGACACATGTATCTTACCCCTTGATGCAATCTAGTTATAATGCAATAAGGAATTAAAAAATTCAAATGCATGCTATTACATGGAAATATTAAAATATTCTCTCTTTCTCTCTTTTATTATTTTTTTAAAAAAATAATACAAAATGAATAATAAATAATATTTAAAAGGAATAGTTAAAAATATAAAAAATGTATTAGAGTGTATATTAAAAAAATAAACAGTTAAAATAAAAAATATTATTTTTTAAATAGATAAAATATATTTTGTTATTAAAAATGCTCTCATTTAGAGTGTAACAAAGACAAGCTTGACTAGAGCCGTTTGGTCCAGCTAGCTTTAGACTTTTTTTTTTTTGGACAGAAGATTTAGACTGGACCCCACTCATTACCGTACAAATCCACATTCCACAAATCATTCCAAAGGGATGAGCCCAGATCCAGCTGTCCTAGGACTAATTTATGGCTGAGCTTAAATCACGGAAGGATAAGTCAAACTTTCCTCATAATTTTAGTCCAGCTCCAAATTTAAGAGTCTAAACACAATCAAGGAGAATATTCACCCAGGAGTCGTCACTTCAAGACAGGGTTCATTCCAAATTATAATTATTTTCACCGGCAATTAGATTTTCGCGTCGCCGTTTCAACTAAAATTCTTTATAAACCACTTAAACAGTGAAAGTATCTCTTACTTCCCGTACCTTAAACTTATTTTTACCCTCACTCTCTGTCTTACCTATTATCTTATTCTTTTATTAATAAAATAATATTATATAACCCCCAAATTTACGTATCAAATCAACAAAGACGATTGCATTAATAATTTTGATTTAAAAAAATTGATAGAATCTATTCATTTAGTAGTTTCGATTTATTTTGAATACAAATTTGAATTACATAGTATTTTTCAGACTATTATCCTTCTTTTTTAAAAGTATTGTAATGTAACATTTATTTGTTTTTTTTGTCAAAAATTAATCCATCAATACTAACAAAAAAATTAATAAAAAATTATATTGTAATTCTTTTAATATATTACAATATAAAAAATAAAAATATTGAAAGATTTCAAGGCGAAGTTGCGATTCCACTTGAAAAATCAACAGAAAGCAAAGGTTGTGGTTGTGGTTGTGAAAGACGCAATAAAAGACTGATTCAGACTTCGTGCCAAACACATCCGCACTCTCAGATATCCTTTCACGGCCATGGAAAGAAACACCAGCGCCACCGGAAGAGACCACAACCCCACCGCCGATTCCGGCAACGGTGAAGACAACCTCCAAAACTCCAACAATTTCAACAAGAAGAAAGAAGAAGATGAGATCGAATCTATAGAAAGAATCTTTGAATGCAAGGAGGTACCGCCATGGCAGACCCAACTTACATTCAGGGCCTTTGTTGTGAGCTTTGTTTTGGGTGTACTCTTCACCTTCATAGTCATGAAGCTCAATCTAACCACTGGTATCATACCTTCACTCAACGTCTCTGCTGGTCTTTTGGGCTTCTTCTTCGTCAAGACTTGGACCAAGTTTCTTGAGAAATCTGGTCTGTTGAAGCAACCTTTCACCAGGCAAGAGAACACCGTTATTCAGACATGCGTCGTTGCCACCTCCGGCATAGCCTTCAGTGGTACGTACATACATACATACATACACAGAGACTGTTAATACATGTACATAATGCGATTTTTACTGTCAATTTATCATAATTTTACCATTAATTTTTGTCCCTAATTTGAACATGAGATATGGGGAATAGGGGGTAATCGAGATTGGATGCGAAAATAATCATGACAATAATCCTATTTTTTGAAAGAGTAGATTGAAGTGGGGAAGGGTTTGGGTCATTTCCGTGTCGTTGATATCGGGTCTTTGCGGTTGGTGTCAAAAAAACAATTCACTCCTACCCAACATATTGGGGTTTGTGTCGTAAATGAATTGTGTACTGTTAGATAAATGAGTCATGTGTTTTACTTTTTTTTTGGTAGATAAAAAGGACCCAAATTTTCTGATTTTGTGTTGTGTTAATGAATCATGATTTCTTTTAACACCCCGAGCATTCTTAGCGATATCATATGGTTCAGAAGGATGGGTTTATGTGATTAAGTCAGATGTTTGGAGAGCATACGTCTCCGATTCACTGATAGCGTAGTGGGTCAAACAATTGGGTGTCATACGACTCATTTGTTCAATCAGAGATGTTGACCTTTGAGATTCTTGCCCTTGTAGGCATGGTATAGAGACATAAGATTATTTGGATTAATTTTCAGAGACTATGTAGTGGAATCAGCAATAAATATTCAGAATACCAAGAACACAAGTTCTCAGATTCAATGGAATTATTTATCAATTCAACAAAATTTATTGAAATTCATGGAAAATCTGGTCAAATAGCTAACCGCTGCATATGTAGCTAAAAAATGAAAGTTGCAAGAAGAGGGAACAAGAAAGGATACTAAATTGCACTTTCAGATTGGTTGAAAGTTCCTGATTTTGAAACATCGCTACATCATTGGGCTCCAAATGGAGCTATTGTGCCACTAAACGTTAACCACAGCTTTTGGTTATCACTTTTTCTCCTCAGTGTTGCCCTAAACCTGCGAGGGACTTCATTTCCAAGTACTAAGTTGTGTCCCATCTGGACTCCTCCACTAAGAAATGGCAATTGCAATTCATGGAGTGAGGAGCTAACGTGTGAAGACAATCATTAACCATCAAAATTCTTACAAACTAGGGGTTACTTAGATATAAGAAGCATGAGCAATTAGGCTATGAAGTGCTTTAAACATTTGTCTGCTAGGTTATCAGAAAGGCATTCTGGTAATGATACAAAAGGCTTGGATTTATGTCTCCTCGGATGTCACCTGTTCAAAAAGGGAATTTACATCTTGCAAATCCAACCTGATTCAAGTCATTAAGTTGTTCATCTCGCATCTGGTTTGATTAGACTAATTTCTTTAGGTTAGAGTGAGAAAGGAGAATGCCTTCGGCATTATGGTGATTACTACAATTTGGCAATTTTTATGGAGTGGCATATCTTCAAATTGCAATGAACAATTGAGTATTCTGCATATGCTTTGTATACCAAAACTTGGCATATGATGGAGATACTTGCTTCAACCATCTAGGACTTCACTTTTAATGGATTGCATTGCAATTTTTCACTTCTACATACTGATATATTTCCATAAGCAGGAGGTTTTGGCAGTTATCTTTTCGGCATGAGTGAATTTATTGCCAAGCAATCAACTGAAGCTAACGTTACACAAAATGTGAAGGACCCAGCTTTGGGATGGATGATTGGATTTCTTTTTGTAGTTAGCTTTCTTGGACTCTTTTCTGTGGTGCCTCTTCGAAAGGTACAGCCTTGAGCTTGAACATATTGACACGCACACACACACACACACACACACACACACACATATATGTATATATTTAGTTACACTTGCTGCCCATCTGTAATTTAATTTCTACTGGAACATTTTAGTAAATCCCAATGCCGTGGAATGGCATATTCTTTCCCTCTAAACCTAATTTCATTAGATTTCATGAGCTGCATCAATTGTGTTTATGTCATCGTATTTTTTTCGAACATACCTGAATTCACATCTGCATGAAGATATATATATATATTTTTTTGGTGGGGGGGGGGGGGTGCGTGCAGAGAATGAAAATAAAACTTTAAAAGGGTGTGATATTAGGTGGTGGTCTAGAATATGTCCTGTAGTAGGACAACATGGAATTTGGAAGCCGAAAGCAAATCTGATAATGTAAATGAACTCATTCTTATTGAAATTCAGATAATGATCGTAAACTTCAAGCTGATTTATCCAAGCGGCACTGCAACAGCTCACCTCATCAACAGCTTCCACACTCCTCTAGGAGCCAAACTAGCCAAGTAAGAATGAGACCAACTCTATTTTGTAGCATTTGATTCCGATAAATTGATCAAAGTGATCAACTTTGTTTCTAACAGTCTTGCTCCTCACTTCACTGTAGGAAGCAGGTGAGAGCTCTGGGAAAATTCTTTTCATTCAGCTTTTTGTGGGGTTTCTTCCAGTGGTTTTTCACTGCAGGGGATGGTTGTGGATTCGTAGAATTTCCAACCTTTGGTCTCAAAGCATATGAAAACAAGTACGTAGTACTCCCCAACTTATACTAAAGAGCCAACATAATTACTTTTGATATCTCATTATTTGAAACCGTTTGAGTAAAGGTGCATGAAATTAATTTCCAAGCTCATCAGCACACTATAAGCTGCAAAGAAATCATCTCTTTGAGTTCAAGCTTATCGGGCCAAAATGGAGATAAATTTACTTGTGATATTTAAGATTGTATGCAATTACCAATTCAAGACATCTGATATTTTCTGAGTTGTCTGTTAAAATTCAGGTTTTACTTTGATTTCTCTGCAACTTATGTTGGTGTTGGTATGATCTGTCCATACCTGATCAACATATCTTTGCTAGTAGGAGCAATCCTCTCGTGGGGTATTATGTGGCCCCTCATACAGGACAGAAAGGGCCATTGGTACCCTGCAGACCTCCGCCCAAACAGTCTCCATGGCTTGCAAGGTTACAGGGTAACTATCTTCCCTTGTTTTATAGCTAAAGTGCCAAATTGAATCCAGGGTTTTTGACCTTTTCTTAATCCTTCTTATTGCAGGTCTTCATAGCCATAGCCATGATCCTTGGTGATGGCCTCTACAACTTCTTCAAAGTTCTTGGACACACTCTATTTGGGTTGTATCACCAAGTGCATGATAAAAATTCAGGCACCGACTTGCCACTTGCTAATCACAGCTCCCTTGTGAATCCTTCTTTATCTTATGATGACCAGCGCCGGACCCAACACTTCCTCACGGACCAAATTCCAACGTGGTTGGCAGTTGTTGGTTATGTCTCTATTGCGATTGTCTCTGTTGCGACACTTCCACACATCTTCCACCAACTGAAGTGGTACTATGTTTTGGTTATGTACATCTTTGCTCCTGTTCTAGCTTTCTGCAATGCTTATGGCACCGGCCTTACTGACTGGTCCTTGGCGTCCACCTACGGGAAGCTGGCAATCTTCACAATTGGGGCATGGGCGGGAGCCTCTAATGGTGGAGTTCTTGCAGGTTTAGCAGCTTGTGGGGTCATGATGAACATCGTCTCCACTGCATCTGACTTAATGCAGGACTTCAAGACAGGCTATATGACCCTGGCTTCCCCGAGGTCCATGTTTGTGAGCCAAATTATCGGAACTGCAATGGGTTGTGTTATTTCACCTTGTGTCTTTTGGCTTTTCTACAAGGCCTTCCATGATCTTGGGGTTCCTGGTTCACAGTACCCTTCCCCTAATGCTCTTATCTTCCGCAACATGTCAATTCTGGGTGTTCAAGGGTTTTCGGCTTTGCCAAAGCACTGCCTCACTCTTTGCTATGTGTTTTTTGGTGCTGCTATGGTTATCAATGCGATCAGGGATGTCGTGGGTAAGAGGAGGGCCAAGTTTATTCCTCTTCCCATGGCAATGGCAATACCATTCTATCTTGGAGGATACTTTGCAATTGATATGTGTGTTGGGAGTTTAATACTGTTTGTTTGGACGAAGATAAACAAGACCAAGGCTGATGCATTTGGACCTGCAGTGGCTTCTGGATTGATTTGTGGGGATGGTATATGGACTTTGCCCAGTTCAATACTGGCTTTGGCAGGTGTCAAGTCACCCATCTGCATGAAATTTCTGTCGAGGAAAACGAATGCAAAGGTGGATGATTTCTTACGTTCATAAGTATTGAACTAGGTTCAGCAACTCAGATCTCTGTTTCATATGTATATATATTATCATTTTCTTGGTTTTTGATCCTTTTTTTCTGATTTTTTTCCCTTTTCCAAAAGGATCAACTTGGTGCAAAGCACTTAGTTAGGTCGAACCATTCATGTCGAAGGACTCAATGCAGAATAGTTTTGTGTGAATGAAGGTGTGCTATGAATACAGAAATGCATGACTCCCACCTTATAACAGGTCCTTTTTTTCTTTTGTGTTGAATGAATGTGTGTTATGAATATAGAAATGCACTATTCCCAACCTTATAACAGGTTTTTTTTTAAGAGGGTAAATGGTAAACAACTCTATCTCGATTTTGGGAAAGCTAATTTCTAAGTCTGAATTTGCTATATACTAGTTGGATGGATGTGACCCATTTTAATTTGCACCTAAATCAAAATGTAAATTAAGTTTAAAGTTTGTTTGGCACTGGAATTAAACCAACTTTGTTCATTGCTCATTTAATCTGGAGTTTGGATCAAATCATAAATTGAGTGGTGCTGCCGAATTATAGAAACAAGTGGGTTGGGTTTTAGGTAATAAAGGATTATGAACTAATATTAGCAGTGAGAACTAATATTATGAAAATGATGTTAGTATTNAGAAACAAGTGGGTTGGGTTTTAGGTAATAAAGGATTATGAACTAATATTAGCAGTGAGAACTAATATTATGAAAATAATGTTAGTATTATGGTAATAAAGTATTAGTGGGTTTTAGGTTGTTCTTTTTTCCAAAAAAAAAAACAAATAGAAAAGAAAAGATTCCTCCACCTCTGGCCCAATCTGAAGTATTCCGGGCATTGTTGATAACATTGTGGAAGGAAAGAAAGACAATCATTAGCTAAAACTAAATGTGGAAGGTTAAGGTATTGTTTGGTAACCTTTTTAAAAATTATTTTTTCTTTTTCTTTTTCGCTTAGAGTTTGTTTTTGCATTAAAAAAAATAGCTTTTAAAAAGAAAAATAAAAAAATAATGTTTTTTTTTTCTAAAAGCAAAAAAATGAAATTGCTTTTTAAAAGCAAAAAAATGAAATTGCTTTTTAGAAGCAAAAAACATATTTTTGCACACAAAAGAATACACTAATATACCAAAAAAAAAATACACGCACACATATTAGTGTGTGTGCGCGTGCATGTATGTTTTTTTCAAAATACTTTTTCAAAGATGTTTATCAATCATGTTGCTTTTAAGCAAAAAAAACAAAATTTTATAAAATTTATTTTTTTACTTTAAAAAAGTACTTTTAAAAACCGTGATTAAACAGAGACTAAATTTTGTCATGCGTATGTTTGAAAGCAAAGATCTTATTGAATACCTTTGTTGCAAGTCTCTCCTACGCTCGTTGTTGCTAGAACTGTCAACGGATCAGGGTTGAATCGAATTTTGAATAATCTGAATTCAAATTCGATTTCAAAAGCCTGATCTNGTCATGCGTATGTTTGAAAGCAAAGATCTTATTGAATACCTTTGTTGCAAGTCTCTCATACGCTCGTTGTTGTTAAAACTGTCAACGGATCAGGGTTGAATCGAATTTTGAATAATCTGAATTCAAATTCGATTTCAAAAGCCTGATCTAATAATTCGACGGATTTTACTTTTGTAATTCATATACGAATCCGTTAACAATCTGAAATTCGATTCAATTCGAATAATGTAATTAACTAAAATTTGTTAAATTATACTTAAATTAAACTAAAATTGCTCATTGACAGGCCTTGTTATGGCTTTTGGTTAACCGAAAAGTACTTTTTTCAATTGATTTGTCGCGTAATTTCGAATTTACTTCTTATTTCGTATAGTATTACTTTGATTTAGATCATTTTCAAATCGATATGTATCACCAATGAATCAAAAGCCTAAATACTAAGACCTCCTTCTCTCTCTCAACAAGATTCACTGCTTGTTGGTAATCAGCAATTAAAAATCTAATGTCCCAAAATCCTAACAAAATTACACCAAATTCATTTTTTTAGTNTGCTTGTTGGTAATCAGCAATTAAAAATCTAATGTCCCAAAATCCTAACAAAATTAAACCAAATTCATTTTATTATTTAATCAAGAAATCGAGAAATAAATGAACATTCATCATACAAATATTAGTCAAACAAATTGATTGTAGTAAAATCAGATTAATCGTATTTGGAATTAATCTAATTAATTTATTTTTCGTGTTAGTTAATGATATTATTTTTATGTTCGTGTCGTATGAAGGATCGGCTAGAAACTTGTCACCCATAATGCCCCCAAAAATATGAAATATGCAGAGAAATACAGAGGTGGCAAAATTACCTATAGTGCTGTTTGTGGTGACCCTCAATTCTGTTTATGGCACTATTTTTAGTTTATTTCTTATTTCATCATAAAATCACATTGCTTATAGTAGTATTTGTATTAACAAACTAATAATAATCTCGTGTTTTAAAGCAGTATACAATATCAAAAATTGAATTGATCTTACAATATTTGTATTTTAAATAATAATTTAGTGTTCTAATTACGCAATTTAAAATTAAAATGAAGAGAGAGAGACTGATGAAATTGTTTAACATTGGAGAATGTGTTGATTGAATTGTCGGTATTAGGGGTCACTCAAAAAACTGATATGTTTGGGCCAAAAAAAAATTGGGATGAATTTTATATCAATAGATCAAAGTAGATGAAAATTGAATCTATCTTGATCGTTTTTGCACTTTTATAAATTGATAATCTAACTTCTTAACTGTAATATTAGATAGATTAATAATACCTATATTTGAAATAATAATTTATAATTTTTATTTAATCACGAAGATTAAAATTAAATTGAACGGAAATAAAATTAGCAAGAGGTAGAAAAGAGAGAATAAAAAGATAGATGCGAATTAATGTGGTTATTTGACATTGGGGAGTGTATTAGAGCTTCTCCAATAGAGACTCAAACTCTTACCCAAATTTGAGTAAAAAAAAGTAAAAAATTTGTTTTGGTATATTCCTCTCCACTGGACAAACCACTTTTAAAAGAAGATAAATTTAAATTTAAATGAAGGTAAACTTAGATTTAAAAAATAGTAAAATATGACTATTATATATTTAAAGGAGAGTGTAATCTTTACCATTAAAGATTTTGATTTAAAAAAGAGTCTCCCTTGATTTGTGCTTAAAAAAAAGTTTCACTTCATTTAGTATGAGTATGAGTTTAACATTGGAGAAGATTTAAAAGAAATTTTTATCCTTTTTTAAAAGAGGGTTGAAATAAGGGTAAGGATCCNTTTTGATTTAAAAAAGAGTCTCCCTTGATTTGTGCTTAAAAAAAAGTTTCACTTCATTTAGTATGAGTATGAGTTTAACATCGGAGAAGATTTAAAAGAAATTTTTATCCTTTTTTAAAAGAGGGTTGAAATAAGGGTAAAGATTCAAAATGGTATTAGTTGAGTTGTGTGTTATTGGGGGCGTGTAACAAAGATGATGTTTTTAAGTTGTAAAAAAAATTGGATAAATTTTATACCATTAAATCAAAGTCTACGAAAATTAAATTATCTTTTAATCATTGTTGTACTTTATAAGTTCACTAAACTTTAATTTCCGTTAAAATCAAGAGAACTTGTTACAGTATTATTAATTAGGGGTAACCCGTGCCTAAAAGTACAATGTAACATAAATGAGAAGTGATGAATTTGAAAATGGGTAATTCAATGTAAATAGTTTTAAAAGAAATATTGGTAACCGTTTGATGAGTATATTTGAAATCGTCAAATAAACTTATTAAAACCTGTTCTGTTTTATATTATAGAATTGCATCTTAACCTCGTATTTTTCTATTACATGACATGTGCCATTGGACAACACAAAAAATATACGATATGCAAGGTTGACAAAAGGAAGACTTTCCTTAAATAACAATGAAAAAATGTCTTTCTTTCTGGACATAAAATAATGTATAATTTAATAAGGAAACCCTTTTAAATGGTATAGAGTTATACTTTATAAAGGTAGAATGCTCTTTATTATTTATTATTTGGGGGGTAATCAGTGGCCTTTTAACTCAGACCATTGACTCTTGTCGTCTTGAGAAATTATATTAAAAAGAATTCCGAATAAATTATATTTACGTGATTTCATGCTTATGACTAATTCTGAATAGATTTTCCTAATTAACAATTCTTAATATAAAACTATCACTAATACTATATAACCCACATAGAGTAAAATAAATGGTAATCCAAGGGCATATCATTTATTAGTTGAGTGAGTCCTTTCAATTTTTTTCGGTAGGACCATTTATTCTAAGGATGATATGCACTTGAATTGTAATTTTGAAATTTCATTTGGATTTTGTAATATTTTCCTAAAACTATAGCAATGATTCCGTGTTTGAAAATATTGTATTATACTAAAAATAAAACACTGCTTATGCAATATTTATATTTTAAATAGTAATTTAATTTTTTCAAATACTCAACTTAAAATTAAAATAAAGAAAGAGGTAGGTGTGAATTGAAGAGATTATTTGACATTTGATAGTGTCTTGATTAAGTTGTCAACTATTGGAGACCGTGCAAAGAAATTGATATTTTTAAGCGAAAAAAAAATTGGGATTAAAATTTATATCATTTGATCAAAGTAGATGAATATTAGATCAATCTTGATTATTGTTGTATTTTTATAAATTGATAATTCAATTTTCTAACAATAATATTAAATAGAGTAGCAATAACCCCATATATGAAGACACTATAAATATAAAAAATCGAACTAATCTTGTAATATTTATATTTTAAAGAATAATTTAATTTTTTTAATTACACAATTTAAAATTAAAATGAAGAGAGACGTAAATGTGAATTGATGAGGTTATTTGACATTAGGGCATCTCTAACCCTGACTTAAATTTAAATTTAAGTAAAAAAATCAAAAAAACTTGCTCAACTCTTACTCAAACTTATACCAAATTAAAAGAGATTCAAATTCTTACCCAAAATTTTAATGGTGATATTTCACCCGCTTTTAAATATTCAATGATCATCTTTACTATCATTTAATGTTGGGTTTGTCCTTATTAATATTTAAGATTTCTCATTCTTTAAATTTAAGTTTGTCCATTAGTCCTTTGTATCAAATCAAGTTTTTTACTCAAATACTTCATCTGTTCTTAAATATCTGTTGTTTAAGGTTTTTGCATAAGGATTAAGAAAGCTATTAAATAGTTCTAATATGAGTAAAAAATAATTACACAAGACTAAAATACTTATATTCAATACGTATTGAGAATGAAAGGAACATGAAAACACACTTAACTTCCACCTAATCTA